GCAGAAAAATAATACCCGAAATTGATACAAAGTTCAACCAATTATGCCTACGTCTTCGGACTGCTGCAGATCTTTTACTAAAGAGAAAAATTACAGGTGTTTACAAAACACTCACAACTCACAAGAAATCTCTCTAGTATTGGGAGAAAGAAGTGATTTAGGATGATTTTGAAGCTAAATGGGTTAGGGTATTTATAGTTGAAGCTTAAGGACTAATCTTGTAAATACCCTAAAGTGTACAGGGACTAAAATATAATTTCTCCATTTCCATTTTCAATAAAAAAATTGGGCACCGAATTCGGTGCCCCATTTATTGAAAACCATTCCCCTTTTTTTGACTTGCACGTTCAACAATCTCTCACTTGAAAACTGATTTTAATCTTTCTTCACACATCGATCAACGCAGCAGCATTTATGGTCTTGTTACTCTAGCATGCCAACTGAAGCTGAACACAACTTCAGTTTGTCTGTAGTCACCGTCTTTGTTGACATAAGCGAGTCCATCTCATCTTTCATGGAAGACTCCCACTTGATTGAATCCTCCACATGCATTGCTTCATCATAGCACTCTGGTTCACCATTGTCAGTCAGCAACAAGTAGTGCAAAGAAGGTGAATAACGTTAAGTTGGTTTAGGAATTCTTGAGGAGCGTTTCATTTCTGGTGTGCCTGGTTCTTATTAGACTTCTTCAGGACTGATCTGAACATCATTTCCATAAATCTCCTCAAACTCAACAAATTCCTTTGTTTCAGCTTCGGTATTGGAGCTACTTGATTCTATGGTTAACATATCTTTATACATCACATTCTCATTGAGAATGATGTCTCTGCTTCTGATGATCTTTTGATTTTCATAGTCCAAAAACTGGTAATCGAACTTATCACCACCATAACCAACAAAGACACATTTGTTGGACTTAGCATCAAGTTTACTTCTTTTAGCAGAATTTATGTGTACATAAGAAATACAAACAAACACTCTTAAGTGTGAAAGATTTATTTCTTTTCTGCTCCAAACTTCCTATGGTATTCCACCATCCAAAGGAACTGAGGGCCCACGGTTGATCAGGTAAGCTGCAGTGTTGATAGCTTCAGCCTATAGTAATTTGTGCAAGTCGTCATGTATCCTTATGCTTCTGGCACGTTCATTCAGAGTTCTGTTCATGCACTCTGCTACGCCATTCTACTGCGATGTCATGGGAACTGTTGTCTCCATCTTGATCCCATTGTTTGCACAGAAATCTCTGAATCTACTATTTCTGTACTCTATTCCATTATCAGACCTCAACAGATTGACTTTCAAACCAGTCTCATTTTCCACCACGGCCTTCCATTTTCTGAAGGTATCAAAGACTTCTGATTTCTTCTCCAGAAAATAAACCCACACCTTCCTTGTAGAATCATCGATGAAGGTGACATAATATAGTGAGCCTGCAAGAAATGGAACTGAAGATGGTCCCCATACATCAGTATGAACCAACTCTAACTTTTCTGCCTTGGGTGTCTTGCCAATCTTTGTAAAACTGACTTTCTTTTGTTTGCCAAAGATACAATCCTCACATAGTTCGACATCTATATTATTTAGATTCGGCAACTTCCCTTTTGACAAAAGTGTCTTCATCTATTTCTCGCTCAAATGGCCAAGCCTTTGGTGCCATAGGTTTGATTTTCCATCAGCATCTGCTACTGTAATGATATTCTCTAAATTTGAGGTTACATAGAGAGTACCAGTTTTTTTACTACGAGCAATGACGAGTGCTCCTTTGGTAATCTTCCATTCACAGCCTGAAAAGGTTGTACAATATCCTTATCCATCAAGCTATCCTACAAAAATCAAATTTCTTTTGAGGCCAGAAATATGTCTCACTCCTTTCAGCTTTCAGGTGGTCTGGTTTGGCAACTTTAATCGGATGTCTCCTTTTCGACGATCTTGGTTTCATCATCAGCTAGATGAACCTTCCCAAAATCACCACTGACATAGTTCTCCATGATTTCTTGGCGTGGGGTGGAGTGGAAAGATTCCCCTGAATCCAAGATCCATGATTCAATCAGACTGTTGACGCTTAGAATCATGACATCACCTGTCTCGTCAGTTATATTGGCACATTCATGTGCCCCGGTATCTTTCTTCGGTGCTCGACAATCTCTTTTAAAGTGACCATTCTTGCCACAATTATAACAGTTAAAATATTTCTTTCCGTTCTTGATTTTCCCTTTCTAGATTTCGATCTGCCACGATTTTAATTTCTTTCTGAAGTTCTCCCTCTAGACTCCGTGTGCAAGGCTGAGGAGCTTGATGCTTCACCCGATTCTCTCCGTCGAATTTCTTCACTCAATACCAGATCCCGAACATCGTCAAATTTTAATTTGTTGTTTCCCGACGAGCTGCTGACTGCTGTAACAGTAGCATTCCAACTGTCTGGTAGAGATGATAAGAGAATTAAAGCTCGAACTTTATCATCGAATTCAATTTCTACGGAACTCAACTGGGTTGTGATTGTGTTGAGTTCATTTAGGTGTTGAGCCACTTATGCCTCTTCCGCCATCCGCAAGTTGAATAGTCGCCTCATCAAGTGAACTTTGTTCGAGGTCGATGGCTTCTCATACATACTGGAGAGAGCAGCCATAAGACCCGCTGTGGTCTTTTCCTTTGCAATGTTGAAAGCAACATTTTGGGACAACGTCAGTCGGATAACTCTGAGGGCTTGTCTGTAGAGAAGAGCTCAGTCTTCATTTTCATGCCCTATGGTTACTTTCTTGAGAGAGGTTGATATAGATTTTTCTGAAAATCTTCAATCTGCATCTTCCAAAAGCCAAAATTCGCACCATTGAACTTCTCAATTTTCACATTCCCTTCGTCTGCAGCCATCGCTCCCACTCGAATCTGGCTTCGTTTGGATCGTTTCTGACAATTTCTACGAACCACCGTGTATTAGAACACCTCCATCGACAAATTCGTATCGCCGATCAAATTTTTACTATTCATAAAATTTACTATTCATATAAATAGTAATAAATAGTAACCTCATAGAAAACCAAAAAATTCACCACAAAAAGCTCTGATACCAGCTGTTGGGAAATAACCGAGTAATTTCCCTATAACCATATTAGTGAGAATGCGAAATAAAAGCGAAAAAATAATACCCGAAATTGATAACGGAATTCTGTCAATTATGCCTACGTCTCCAGACTACTGCAGATCTTTTACTAAAGAGAGAAAATTTACAGGTGTTTACAAAAGACTCACAACTCACAAGAAAACTCTCTAGTATTGGGAGAAAGAAATGATTTGGGATGATTTTGAAGCTAAATAAGTTAGTGTATTTATAGTTGAAGCTTAAGGACTAATCTTATAAATATCTTAAAGTATACTGGGATTAAAATACAATTTTTCCATTTCCATTTTTAATAAAAAATTGGACACCGAATTCGGTGCCCCTTTATTAAAAAATATTCCCCTTTTGACTTTCACGTTCAACACCTTCAATAAGATAAGTCTATATAATTACAAGGCAAGAAAAGCCATCAATAAACATTATTTAATTTCCATCACGAAAGCCAAATACGTCCATGTCTTCATGTCAAAACTCGAGTAAATAAATATGGTAAAATATTCGAGTAAGAACAAACTTGCATGAAAGGGATGATTGTGGTGTCTAGATATAATATTTGAGTAAAAACATATCTGTCTCGTAAATGTTAATGTTAATCGTGTTTGACCGGAGTTCATTCATTTGAATTTGAATGGAGAGTCGATGAATAATAATATGGATGTGTCAGTCGATAAATGTTCAGACTCTTTTAAAAATAAATCACCGTAAATTGACATTTTTATACTCTTTTTAGTGAATGTACGTCTAAATAAAAAAAAGTGAACTGCGTTTAAACATCACTAATCGTGAATCTCTTTTCCCCTGGTTGTACATTAACAATAATGACGAAATTCTTGTAAACAATATATGTGTGTTGCTTCATAGAGACTGAGTTGTATTCGTTTGTCTTGTACTGAAAAAGCCCATATACCTTACGAGAATAGGCAGAGGAACGTGTTATTTTAGCGTTTCATGGGGCTAAATAGATGATCCAGCTTAAACTTTTGTCGGAAAATGCATGGAGCTATTCATTTGAGAAAAATGCGTGTATATTATTTGTATCCAAAGGACAATGTGAAGGAATCAAGAGTTTTATATTCCGTCGGTTCTAATTATTGTCTTTTATTTGTCCAATCCAAAATATTACTTTCAAAAAGGTTAATAAATTTTAATATTTACATTTTTTTATATGATATTTGGGTGGATAAAAACATCAATCTAAGCCTTCGTGGCATAGCTATTTAAGTTGGGCGCATAATCATTGGGTTAAAAATCACATTCAATAGCTTACTGTGTTTTCTTGCCAACTACCATGTTGGACTTGGAACTAAGGGTGTAAACAAAGTCAAATTTAAATATTACTCAACTCAATTTTAAAACCATATATAAAAAACTCGTGAATTAAAAAATATAAAACTTGACTCGAACTCTAAATATAATATTAAAACTCAACTCAAACTCAAAAAACTCAAATTCAAAAAAGCTCGAATCAAACTCGATATTGAGCTCGATTTAAGTTGGGCTTGCATAATCATTGGGTTAAAGATCACATTCAATAGCTTACTATGTTTTCTTGCCAACTACCATGTTGGACTTGGAACTAAGGGTGTAAACAAACCAAGTCAAATTTAAATATTACTAAGCTCAACTCAATTTTAAAATCATATATAAAAAACTCGTGAATTAAAAAATATAAAACTTAACTCTAACTCTAAATATAATATTAAAACTCAACTCAAAAAACTCAAATTCAAAAAAATATCAAACTCAATTTGAGCTCGAATCAAACTCGATATTAAGCTCGAATCAAACTCAATATTGAGCTCGAATCAAGCCACTAGCCTAGGCCATGAGCCGTAATGATGGCTCATAAATCCCGTCCGTAAATTTTTTTCACGCTAGTTGCCTCTTATTTATTGAGTCCAGCTTCCACTCCCTCCTCTTTCTCACTCGATGTGGGATTCTGCTTCACCACATTCTCCACCCTGAACACTGATTGCTTCTTTTTTCTTTCTGACCCGCAGGCATGGAAAAGTTTAGAAAGACCTAATCCCAAAAGCCCTGCTACATAGTGACAATATTCATCATAGTCATCGACTGTTTCTACCTGCAATACAAGATCCTAGGATCATAAATAGGATAATATGAACACATTTAAGACTTGTATTCATGCATACATATCGCACAGATTAGGCTAAGCTAGAGAGGTCATGTTCTTATATATGATAAGAGACAATCTAGAAGATATCAACCCGAGTTCGATACTTTGTAAACGAAAAATTCATTTTCAATAATCAAATATCTAAAGCAAAAAGCCTCTTTTTCTCATTCATACATCCAGGTATAGGTCAGCACACGGTAACTCATGACAGATATAGCAAATTCATATTAAAATGTCCATAGGTAAACCCATTTGTAAAGTTCATTCCAGTTTTCATATATTTCAGATAAATAATAATAAGGTGAAAATAAATATTGCGCATGACAAACCTCCTTGCAAATAAATTTTGCCATCCCTGAACCCATTCTTTTTGTAATGTCCTCGATTGCCTCCTGATAACTGCAGAATCAATTGAGAATTGTTGATTTTTTTGGGGGGTCAAAGTCCAATAATGTAAACAAATAAATCAGCACCGCATTGAAATCTTCATAAATGAGGAAGATCAGGAAAAAAACTTAAATAACTGACCCTCTTTCAAGTTCCAGAAAAGCAGTAGATACAAGATGAAACTGGTCCATAAGGATTTTGTAGTTCTTTGTACCACCTGAAGAAATGATCATCTAGCTCAGTTGGTAGAGCACAAGGTTCTAAACCTTGAGGTCGTGGGATCAAGTCCCACGGAGGGCATTTCATAATTTGGAGGTCTCCTACGGAAGCTGCTCTCAACCTGGTGTTGGGGGCAGCCTACTATCTTACCTCCCCTTACCCGAAAAAAGGGACAGCCATTTTGTACCACCTGAAGAAAAGAGATAAAGCTATATAAGCAAACAAACCAGGAAGTTTTCAGCAATAAAATGAGCCCGATTCTGGTGATATATTGCTATTCCAGGGAAGTCAAGAGAACCCTCCTTTGAAGGAGGAAAATTTTCAAAATGCTCACACATAAAGTGCCAGTCTCGATTGTATATATGACGATAAAAGTCTTCAAGGATAGGAACTTTGACATCCGTTGCTACACTGGTGTCATCCTCTGCAAGCAAAGAAAACATCAGACAGATCAACCAACACATGGATTTAATGGTAGTTTAAACTTGGGTTCTTATCTAGCAACTAGAAAAGGAAATGCAATTTATAAAAAAACAGATGAACTTAGTCGGAGATTTACCAGATAGTAGTGAATCGAATATATTGAGAGATATCATATGCTATTTTTAATGGAAATGGAACATCTTGTTTCTGTTCTTGGCATAATATTTAGCTCACTCTGTGTATACCAATAGCTTCCATGAGTTAATATTGATTTATGCTATTAGTTTTAAATTTATGCCATCTGGTTTTGTTGATCATATTAGGAAGCAACTGCTATTTCTCTTGCAAGTAAACCCATGTCGTTTATTATATCATAAATTGGATTTTAGTTTCAATGTCAAACTTGATTCTTACTCTGAAAATACAGAAAGTAAAGAAACTCTTAAGAAAATATGGAGTATTAATATTTTAGGACTTGTTATATTTGTAATCTTCTGATTTCGTCATTAATCAAGGTTTACGTTTTTATGATTCGGGTTGTTAATTTATTTTTATTTTATGTTTTGATCACCGTTTGTTTTGATAATTGACCTATTGATTGATTTGACCAAGTGTGATTATTAGTTTATTTACATATAAACCCTTGTTAATTTCATTAATTTCATTTTGCATAATTTGTATGTTACCTTCATGTGTATAACTTAACCCCTATCACATAATCAAATTAAGTGTTTAGGGTTTAGGGCTTAGGGCTTAGGGTTTATGGCTTAGAGTTTGAGATTGAGGGTTTAGGGTTTATAGTTAAGGGTGTAATCTAACATGTACTTAATTAAATGAGTTTTTATTTTTCTTTTAGTACCCTATCACATAATCGGATTAAGGGTTTAGAGTTTAGGGTTTAGGGCTTAGTGTTTATGGTCTAGGGTTTGAGTTTGGGGTTTAAGGTTTAGGGTTTGGATTTGGGTTTAGGGTTTAGGGTTAGTGTGTAATCTAACATGTGCTTAATTAAATGAGCTTTTATTTTTCTTTTAGTAATATACAATGTAACAATTGGACTTGGGTTGCTTAATTAAAAAAATTAAAATTTGAGAGTAGTTGTATTATAGATTTTTAATATATTTTTAAGATTTTTTAATTATCAATAATGTTTTTTTAATAATTTTTTTATAATGTAATTTTAAAAAATCTAAAATTATAATATAACATTTTTTTGAGCTACTCACGAGCTTTTCGAGTCGAATATCGAGTAGCTCGTTTCGGCTCGTTAAGAAATCGAGTCGAGCTTGAGCTCGAGTCGAGTCCATTCGATCCGAGTATTTATCGAGCCTTGATCGAGTCGATCTCGAGTAGCTCACGATCTGTCTCGTCTCATTTGCAGCCCTACTTGAAACCCTTTTATTTGGTGATGAAAGCAACAATCCCATTGCCTTTGATCCTTACTTTTTTTCTTCTTTCTCGATACTGAATTAAAAAATCCTGTTCAATTACCCTAATTTCAAGTCCCTTTTAACCGATTTTATTATAAAAAATCAACATGTATGACCTGGATTTAAAATAATAAAAATTTGAAACAATACAAATTATAATCTTTTAAGTTAAGGATAATTACATTATGATAAGTGATATCGAAGTAGTTCTTTAACGATTTAGTTTTACTCTAAATACCTCAGCTAGGCCCATCCAATGATAAGGGCGGCATGTGATCGGTCGAGGGCTCCAAAATTTAAAGGCTTCACATATGAATATAATTTAGGTTCGTCCATGTATAACATTTGTGTCCTAAAATCATTTTCGCTCGAAAGAAAAATAAACTTTTCGTTTGGTTCTAGAAAATGACAAAGAATCTTGTAAACGAAAGATTTTGACAATTAATCATTTTTCATGATGAATTTTGATAAAAAAAGAAAGAAAAAAAAACCTTGTAGATCCCTTATAATTTCAACTTTGACAAAGTAATCTTTATTATAAAATATTTTAGGAGTCTCATTTTAAAAAACAACACACAACCTCCTTATCATTTTGGAATGGCCTGACCCGTGTGAACTAGACATGATAAACCAACTATAAATACGAACCTATGACGAATGCATAACAAATTTAGACCTTGGAAATTTCTAAAGTAACTCTATCTGAATCAAGTAGTAATTAAATTTAACTCGAGAAGTCTAACGAAAGGAAAAAAAAAACTATAAAGAAAGAAGACATGACATGAGCCAAGTAAACTCAATGGTTAAATTATTGTTGTTGTTGCCTACGGTCTTGAGTTTGAACATCATGTATACTGAACTATGAGTATTTAATGTCAAATAATTTAATAAAAAAGAAGACATGAGAACATCCCTTACCAGGTCAAGTAAGCATCCCAAGGGTGGGAAACCCTAATTAAATCCCGAGTGATTAATCTCAATCTCATTACTAGATATATATATGAACACATATCGACTTGTCAAAAAACATGTGGCTCGGCAAACTCTGTGAAGGAAAAAAACACTGTTTTAAATTCCCTCAGCAGGTACGCTTGTACCAAACAGCAGGAGCAGCCCCTATCCTTTTAAATAACGAACATTGTGATAACTCTGAAAAATATAAGTGATCCATCAACGAAGGAATAAGGCCAAGAAATGGTAAAAAGAGCAATGCTAAATTTATTGAAGCAAAGGTCCATTTCCACATGGGTCTCAGTTTTACTTGTCTCCCCGAGCCGACATATAGGATAGATTAGGCTATCTGCTAGGCCGTAAAACATGCTGACAGATCTTTGTCTTTACATTATTTTCTCGGTTTTTACCTCTTTGAGGGTGAAAATAAGGGAAAATCTAAGGCCCCATTTGTTTACGAATTATTTCATTTCAGGGAGGAATATTTTTTTCGGGTTAAGATACTCACGCTTATGGGTCACAATCCTAACTGAGGATAAAAATTGAATACTAACAGTGATTTTTTTGTTCTGATTTACTAGGAATATTAATCTTACATCTCCCTTAGGTATTTGTTTATTCACTTAGGTATTTGTTTATTTCCGTTATCTGTTGACTAAAATACTCTTTTTCCTGTTAGTTTGTTTGTGGCTGAAACAAAATATTCTTCTTCGATTTGGCGAGAAAATATCAACAGATCGAAGTGAAAATGGAGTGCGTGTTCAGTTTAGTAGGAAGTGATTTCGCCGTCGTTGCGGCGAACTCATCTGCGGTTCATAGCATCCTCGTCCACAAATCTAATAAAGACAAGATCATGATCCTCGATTCTCACAAACTCATCACCGCTAGCGGTGAACCCGGCGACAGGTTCCCCTCTTTTTTTATTCTGTATAAATCTAGGAATATTTATTCGCCATAATAAAATTTTAATGATTTTTTGTAACTTTCTGTTTCTCATACAGAGTACAGTTCATGGAGTACATACAGAAAAACATGGCTTTATATCAGTTTCGAAACGGTATTCCTTTGACGACTACAGCTGCTGCTAATTTCACTCACGGTGAGCTTGCCACTGCCTTAAGGAAGGTATAAAATTTTCTGGCTTGTAGTTAGAATAGTGTTGTGATTATGACTAATTTAGAACTTATGTTGGCATTCTTTTAGTTTAATATTTTTTTTTTTGAATTTTTAGGGAAGGTTTGATGAGTTGGAGATTTTAGGCTTCTAGAATTGTAGTAACCGCCATGTACAATAAAGCTTTACCATGCCCTGAAATATGTGAGGACAACATTACTTCTTTCCCGTTTACTGCATGTCACATTGGACTAGAGATGCAACATTCTTAATGGTTGCTAACCTCCCGACATAAAGCTGAAAAGCTTGTGTGGAAAGAATATGTACTGTGCTTTTCATTTTGAGCTGAATTTTTAGTTATAGCCAATTTTCAGGAGATCCGTAGGTAATAATAACTGTTTTCTACTACCAGGTGACTTAAATGAACTGCTTAGCTAACCCACCGGAGAGTCTGAAATTGCTTGTAAACCACTTTATTTCTCTGCTTGCCTAAACAAAATAAAAGAACTTTAACAAAAACCCAAGAGAATTTTATAAAAACTGAAAGAAAGAAGTACATGTTCAAGCTTTACCCTAAAAAGGGGTATTTGTAGTCTCGGAATTCCCCAAAACAATCATTTGTGCTTGCTTTAACGAGAATCCTTGGAATTAGGTAATTATAATACCATGTTAAGTTGACAATGATTCAGAATAGAGTTGATACTTCCATTGCATGAATCATGACCCTATGACACCTCTCTTCAATTAAGTAGGATGCAATTTTTGGTAGAACACCTTTGGAAGCTTTATGACATCAATCCTTGTTGTTTTTGTAGAAGATCAGGTTAGAACAGTCCAAGGAATTTTGAGTACAATGAAAATATTTTATTATGTTTTGGAGTTCCAATGTTGAATTAGAATATCTTGTTGTTCTTGATGCCTATGTTATTTCCTTTTCTGGTTGACTGTTTCGTGCAGGTGCTCAGTGCACTTATTGCTCTTTAGGGTCCTGGACTCTTGCAAATCTATTTCTGAGGTTCCTTCAGTTCTAAGGTTTTGTCTAAGTTTATTTTTACAGTTCATATTTTATGCACTGATTGTGGGTATATACACTGTCAATGTGTCAAATGATGCTATTTCATTAAAAGTTTTGAGAAACAAGTATAGATAATTTTATTTTCAAGGAGGAATCAAGATTTGATTCATTGGCAGTGTTAAGATCTGTACACTGTATGTGAATTGAATGTAACTCCTTTTCTAATGACCTTTGTTCAACCAAATTGATTTAACAAATTCATGAAGAGAACTTGATGCTTATGTTTTTGTCTTGAACTATGATGTGGATATCTTGTGTCCTTTTACTGCAATAAACTCTATCCAATAGTTTTCATTTAAAATTTTGATTTTCAGTTTCAAGCTTTTGGTGATTGCATCAGGTATATGTATTTTTGTTGCCTTTAAGTGCCTTCGAACATACAGAAGATATCCATGTATGAGAAAGATGTTTTTAGTTCTTTACTGTGTGCCATGAGAATACTGAATTTGGTCCTTTCTCACCTGCTACCTCCTCTCTTCTACTACTGTTAACAATGACATTTGGCTTTTCCAGAATCCATACTCTGTGAACATCCTTCCTGCTGGCTACGACAAAGAGACAGACCCGTCTCTGTACTGTATGGACTACATTGCTACACTTCATAAGGTTGATAAGGGAGTATTTGGTTATGGATCCTACTTCTCTTTAGCCATGATGGACAGACACTACCACAGTGTCATGACGGTGGAAGAAGCCATTGATTTAGTCGATATATGCATAATGGAGATCAGATCAAGACTGGTCGTGGCTCCTCCAAACTTTGTCATCAAGATCGTCGACAAGGATGGAGCAAGAGAGTATGTCTGGCATGAATCTGTCAAGGATGCTGCCATTAATTCAGCCTGAAGATATTTGCCGTGGACTTGCTCTTCTGTTTTGAACGTTTAATTTGCATGTACTGATAGGGAAAAAAACTATTTATCTATTGACTTGATTATGTTCTGAAGTGGAAAAAGATTTGGAAATTTGATGATACTTTTTTATCATTGTTTGCAATGATCATTATAATGATTACACCCTGCTAACTATATATTCATTTCGAGTTCAAGAAATGATGTGCTCTTCTCTGGATCGATGGATGAATATGATATGATTCTTTTCTATTTGTTGCAGGCATTAAGATTTGAACATTGTGCCAGTTCATAGGGCCTTAATCTTTTCCATATTGATGGCTTGATTGCGGCGAAAGAAGAAAATTAAGATGATATGTTATCTAAGAATCACTTGAATTAAGTTTTGATTTTTTTGGATAATTATTAAAATTACACATTAATTTTCTTAAATGCGTAAGTAATACATAAATATTAATTATGTACCAGAAGAAATACATAAATATTAATTTATAATTTTATATAATATATATAATTTTGATTTTTGTTTAATTGTATATATAAAATTTTAACTTAATTATCACATTTTAAAAGTAAATGCATTCACTTATAATAAAGTCATCTTTGTACATTTTGGTAGGAGTCAAATGATTCATCTATTAAAATGTTCATATGCTTATTTAGTTAAATGTTGATATAAAATTTTAATATATTTTTAGATAAATTATGTAAAATTTAATATTAATTGAAATTAAAATAATACATGATATATTTACTCTTTTATTCTACCAATTTATATATATTTTTATAAAAACATTATATATACATTTTATTAAAAAGTATATATATTAAAAATAATAAAGTAATATATTCTCGATGAATTTTTATATAAATATTTTCATTTAAATATTTAGAATTCTATTTGTTAAAAAATATAGAACAAAAACAATTTCATAAAATATACATTCCAGTAATCTTTTATTCCTTCAACCAAACACTGTAATCTTACATTCTTGCCAAACAAACCAAACACAGTAATGTAACATTCCCAGAAATGTGTTAGGTAATGTTACATTCCGATAATCATATTCCCGAAGGTAATTTTACATTCCGTGAACTAAACTCATCCTAAGGTTAAGGTAAGGAAATGTGAGAAATTGACTCAATTGTAAATTTGATAAAAATTATAATATTTTTGATTTGATGTAATTTAAAATATTAATTTTTTAAATATTTTTGTTAAATTAAAAAGTTACATTCTTTCAATATTTTCGGTTGACAATCGAGAATAGGGATGTGCATGGATTGAGTTGGATTTTCAGTCCACCCGATCTGACCCGAAAATTATACATCTTCCACTGACCTGAACTAGACTCGAACTCAACTTGTCTTTTTGAGATAAAATCCAAACCCGACCCGAAATAATATATTTATTAAAAATAACTTTTATTCAATAAAAATAGGGGTATTATTGTAATTGTTCCTAAATATATAAAGTAAAGTTATAATTTTTTGGTATGGTCGAGTATTATTCACCATAAACCTGAACATAACCTTTAAAACCTGACTCGACCCGATCTGAACTCATTTTTTTAAAAAAATTCCTACCGTATCAGGTAAGGTAAGGTCAGGTCAGAACCCGTGGGATTCGGATCACATGACCATTCCTAATCGAAAATATTACCTTTTTCATTTTTCGTTCTTTTGTAATACTAAATTAGACAGTTTTATAACAAAACTGCCCGAAAATAAGTGAAAGAAACGTAAGGATGGTTTTTCATACTGACGTTCTTCGAGATTTGTTGCTCAGATACATGCAAGTTGACGACTAGATGATAAACAAAGACGAGATTTCATATTGTTTGACAAATATATTCTGATATGTAGTTGGTTTTCTTGTTGAATTCTTCGAGGTTAAAAATCGTAAAAATCAAAAAGGTATTTAAATTTAATAAATAAAACAGTTTATGTAATTCTTAATAATTATTCGTATAAATTATTTTTATTACTCATTTAATTATAAGTTTGATAATAAATAGTAATTTCATTAAAATTATATAAAAGATAATTAAGATATTATTATAAACAAATTATAATCTATAACGGCTTTATTTTATAAAAAGAATGTACACATTTAGGTCTTACTAAACTCACATATTTAAGATATTAATTAAATTAAGAGATCTCTACCCATTATTAGGGTTTTTCTCTCCACCCATTATTAGAGTTTTTTGACCGACTAGTCCGTTTGGTTCTTTTGATCTCTTGTGAGATTAGTTTTGAAGGACTCTGGGTGTTTGGATCGAAGAAGCAGGGTAAGCGATGGGTGATTTAACTGAGGAGTTAGAGAATTTGGATCTGGGAGCGGAGGAGGAAGTTCTTCAACTTGATAATACGACAACAACTTCATTGATCTCTTTTGAGAACTGTTTAGTGGGTCATTTTATCACTATGAGTAATATTAATTTTTAGGCAATGATGACCAATGTCTGGCATCCAATTGGGGGAGTTTCGATAATTGAATTGGAGGATCGACGATTTCTATTTTGATTATTCCATAAGGTTGATGTTGAGAGGATTTGGGATGAAGGTCCTTGGTATTTTGACACGCATCTTCTGGTTCTTCATTGATTACAGAAGGATGAAAATTCACAGTTGGTAGATCTTAACTTAGTGGGATTTTGGGTATTGTCAAATGACGTGCCAGTCGGTTTTATTTCCGAGCAGGTTGCGAAGCAGTTGGGCAATTTCATCGGGGTTTTTATAGAGTTTGATGCGAAAGCAGTTACATTGGGATATAAGGGAAGTCTGCAATTCTGTGTGTTATTAGATGTTCGAAAGCCATTGAAAAAGAAAAAGAAGATAGCTTTGCCGAACGAAGGTTTCTATTATGTCAAATTTCAGTATGAGAAGTTAAGGGTGCTTTGTTTCCTTTGTGGGAAGTTGGGTCATGGAGAAGGGTCATGTCTGTTACGAGTGCTACGACCGAAGCAGGAGTTGATTCCACAATGGGATATATCCCTGAGGGCTCTACCGAGACACATGAATTATTCACCTATTCCATGGCTACAGGATGATAACGGGCAGAAGAATAAGGATAATAATAATTTGGAGGGGGTTAATGCTGGTTTGAATAGTGGCTTAGCGAGGGGAAATAACAAAGTTATGGATTGAACTTCGAACGAAAGAACAAGGTTGTTATTACAAGTGACGATGGTTTCGGCAGAGGAAAATTCACATATGCACAAAGTGGAGGGGTGTAACTTTAACATCCCAAACTATGGGTTAGTGACTAAATTGTAAACCTTCAGAATTTGGTGATTAAAGTGAAAAAGTTGAATAGTTCAATGACTTATCTGGAAATAGTTTATGAATTATTGTTAGTAATTATTAAATGAAGTAAAGGACAAATTGGTCATTTGACATGAAAGATATTTCCCCCCTTTAATAGGAGAGAAACGTAGAGGGAGAAGTAGTTGGAAAACTCTCTTCTTCTCCAACGTGAAGCACCCAAGCCAAGGTAAGTTTTCTAATTAGTTGATTATTTGTTGATTTTAAGTATGGGTTTTGATCCTTAGGTAATACTTAAGCTTAAGGAAAACTTAAGTTGACTTAAAATCAAAAGATGAAGAAGTTATGAAAGATTAAAGAGAATATGTTTTTAAGGGAATTTATGGTAAAGAGTTAATAAAGGAACTTTGAGATGAAATTTGACTTGTCATAGGTGTGAATAAGAAGTTATAAGTGTTAGAAATAAGTTTGGGTTACATGGAAAATTTAGTAAGATTCTTAGATTTAAGAATCTGAATGATATATGGGAGATCATAAAGTGTTGGAATGATAAAAGTTAGTTAAAATGGTTGTAGTTGAGTTTAGTGGTATGAAAGGAGTTTTATATGAGGAAATTCAGTGAAGAGTTGATGAATTTTCGGGTGAAAAAGCCTGTTTTGGGTAGAGTGTATCGGTACCCTAAGTATGTGTATCGATACCATCTTGATCGAAAAATCACATAATGCAATAAGGGTATCGATACCTTAAGGAGTGTTTAAGGTATCAATACCCCTAAAGAAAAAAGTGAATATTGGTCTATTAAATTTGTTTAAGTTAATAGCATCAAAGTATAAGGTTTAGGCTTATGATAATTGTCTTGAAAATTATATTTATGTTGATACAGATCCAAAACGAGTTCCGAAGCAATTGAAGAATTATGATCGAATCAAGGCTAAGGTGAGCGCAATTTAATTTGTATTTATGTTATTAATCAAACCTTGGCTTGCGATGAGCCAGTGACAGAGTTATTATGGTAAGAAGTAACTTCTAAAATGTTATGTGATTCTTATATGTGCATGAGTATATGGAAATATGTATTGGTGTCATATGTTATTATATGCGATATGTGATACTGAACTAAATGAATATATGAAATATATGATATCAACTATGTGATATGTATGATATGTTATTTTATGAGTTTTATATATGTTTGGGCAAAATTACTGTAGTTAGGTATCGGTACACTGTAGCAGGGTATCGATACCTCTGTAACATTCTGGAAAACTTTCTTCTTCTTCTTGTTTTCTTCTTCTCCAACGTGAAACACCCAAGCCAAGGTAAGTTTTCTGATTAGTTCATTATTTTTTGATTTTAAATATGGGTTTTGATCCTTAAGTAATTGTAGACACACATTTTTCGTCTATGTTATTTTTATTATAGTATATAGTATATATATTATATGTTCATACTATATTATATACTATAATTATATAAACACATACTAATTTATTTTTGTTATTTTATTTACAGGACAAGGCTGCCCAAATACCACTACAAGCCCAACAGAAACCAACAAATGGCACACGTGACCCATTTGCAGTGGACCCACGAACCGAACTGGCCCCACTGCTCGAACGCTTAACCCGGTTAGGGGTTTTGAAACCCTAATCCCATTTCTCAACTGCATGCCACATCACCTCAACGCTCGATCAACTAAACGTCGAATCTCTCACCCCAACAACCCGTATCATCCGGCGCAGGGATCCCGATCATCACCAACACATCAACAAACCAACTAGCATTAGAATCCTAGTTCAAATAGGATACTAAAATAGGAATTTTTTCATATTATAAATAATCTATGTATCAAACGATGTACACACACGAGTTTACACGAAATAAACTACCAAATAGACAAGAGATTATCGAGAGAAACATCAAGGAAATCAAGAGCAAAAAATTGTGTAAATTTCGAAAAAAATCACTCGAAATAAAGGTATTAACTTCACCTTGTTTGGTGGATCCTTTTGCTTGCATGTGATGTTCGTTGGTATTTTCATTTGATTTCGACCCTAAGACTCGAAAAAGTTTTGGTTGAGGATCTGGGGGAGGGGTTTTTGCTTTCGTAAACCCTCTTCGAGGCCACGTATTTTGAAAAATGAAGTGATTTTTTAGAGGAAAGGGAAAAGCTTTCGAAGGAATATTTAAAAAAAAAAAAATTTTTGTCGTCGACCGATCAACTGCGGCGGTGAGGCGGCGAGGGGCGGTCGATGGCCGGTTTCTAGAAATGGTGGCATGTGTTCTTCGTTTATGAAGAACAATAGAGAGAAAAAAATGTGAGGGGGAGGGTGTTTTTTAGTGTGAAGAAGAGAAATAAAATTAAAAAAAGGGTTTAGGTTTATACTTGGCCTAATAACCCGTTCAGGGTCTACGTGTTGACCCAACCCAGGGGCCAGATCTGCGTGTTTCTGAATATAACTTGGTTAATCCCATTTTCAGTCCCCATTTGTTTCAATTCCTTCATTTCACCCCATGAATTCGATCTTAACGCTAATTATCTCTCAATTTGATCACCCATTTTTATTTCTATTCATTTTCATCCGTTATTATTATATTTATATATTTTCTTTTTTTGCAATTAATTATTTTCCCTTTCCTTTATTTATTTTATTTAACAACATATATTTATTCATGTATTTTTTTTATTCATGTATTTTTTAATATTATTTTATTTTTGTTTTATTATTTATATATATATATTTTTTATTTTTACACGTTATTATATATATAATTATTTACTTTTTTTTATTTTCTATAATTCTTTTTTAGTTTCTTTTATTTTAATTTTATTTTTTATTACTATTATATACTTCATTATTATTATTATTATTATTATTATTATTATTATTATTATATTTTATATGTTTTATGTTTTATGTTTTATGTTTTAGCTTTTATCTTTTATTTTTATTTTTTTATCATTTTTAAAAAACATTTTATTTATATGCATATTCATTTTATTTGTTCCTTTTATTTTATTTTATTTTCTCTTTATTTATTATTATTTTTTTCTTTTACATATATATATTCATGTTGTCATTTTTGCCTTTATTTTCTTTACCTTATTTATTTATTTATATTGTTCTTTTTCTTTTCTTTATTTTACTTTATTTCTTTTATTTACTTTTCTTGATTTTTTATTATTGTTATTTTTGCTTTATTTTTGCTTTTTTTTATTTTCTTTATTTTATTTATTTTCATTTTTTCCTCTTCCAATATTTTTATCCTTTAAGGGTATTTCAGTCAATCAGAGGTAAGTTTTTGGATCGTTATTTTACCTTTTAATTTAAGCGTTCAACTTTCTTAATTAAAGGCAACTGGAAATTACATAGTACCGAAAGGGTAGTTCCAAGGGTGCTAACCCTTCCTTGACTGTAACCGACTCCCGAATTTGACACATCTTTGGTAAGACGCATATCAGGTAAGAAATATGGTAACATTTCAATCCTTATTGCTTACTTTTGATTATATTTTAGAGTAAATAGTTATACTAACCATTTTCTAATGATTTCAGCCTTCCAAACTTGTTTTTTCCTCTAAGGCTCTAAACCCGAGCTCCGAACCCATTTTTAAGTGGGGGGTGAAAGCGACACTCTCGTGAGAATTTATTCTCCGTATGGGCCTAGCAAGTAACCTTCGGGATTCATATACCTTATGCTTTCGTGGGAATATATTCTCCGTATGGGCATAAGGGAATGTTTCCTCTCGAGTTTAACGTCCACACAAGCTTGTGATGGACTTAGGACTAAGGGTCTAGCAAGCCTAAGGGGGGCACTAGCAAGGAGAATCAGGTACTATTTTTTAGAACTTAAACTGAGAGACTACAAAGAATTAGAGCCCACCCCAAAACCTCATTTCAAACCCTAAGATGTCTGAATTATTTCCTGCTTTATTTTATGTTCAAAGCATGTGAACTAGAAATGTATGCGGTTATGACTAGTTCAAAATTAACATGCGGGTTAGAGATCATGTCCGAGTAGGAATAATAAGCATGTGGGGGTAGATATCATGTGGGTAGAACTTTAATCTTCATGATTGTTTTTTCCACCTTACTAACTTTTTTCCATTTTTGTTCTCTTTTATTTCATTTTCATATTTTACATAATTCATTCAAAAGAGGTGTTGATCCACCAAAAATGTTTTTGTTAAACGTAAATAATCTATATTAATGGACAAAGGGGTTATAATACAAAGAGATGAAAAACATAGAAGTCCAGTTATGTTTAAAGAATACTCGGGGGAAAAGGTTGCAGGGGCAAGACATGAAAAATGTTACTGACCCAGAGTGTCATTTCGAAGACTACGAGAACAAGATGAAGAAACCCTAGCTGAGCTGGATGCCATTGCAGACGAATTCAAGAAGCAAACTTCAGATAATTTCTATCGATGGAGGGCTCCGATGACGCTTTCGTTAGAAACAAGCGCAACGGAGAGTGAAAGTCGGAGATGCAGTCATTCGAGACTTTTTGGAGCAAGCAGCTCGTCACTTGTGCAGTTTAGCCTGAGAAGCTGGAACGGTTCGACAGGGCGTTCAACTGATGACAATAGCTGAAGACGAATCAACTTGTCAGGGGCTGTTCGGGATCTATACCATTAAAAAAGGTTTTTTATCTCTTCAGGCGTAACACTTTTGTCCCCAATAAGGATTATTTATAATAACATACATATTTTTTGGATCAATGCCTCGAACATTGCATGCATCATGCATTTAAACATATTTTGCATTTTGTTTTTATTTCTTTGCATTCACATTAACAAACGGAAAAATGTCTCATTAGAGGAACAAATACTGAATACACCACCTCAAGCATTGGACACACCCCATCCGCATAACATTCGCC